ATCGATTGCTCATGCCTGCCGATCGATCAGCTCGATAATCGATCGCTGACGCCTGCCGATCGATCAATCGGCGATCGATCGCTCCCCGCTCCCCATCCGGACCGAAGCGGGCTGCCCGTGGGTGGGGGAGGGGCGGGTCGGGGGTCTCTGATGACTCCGGGGGAGCCCTGGGGGGGTCGGGGGAGGGGTCAGTGGGTGCTGGGTCACCCCGGGGTCACCCCGGGGTCACTTGGCCGAGGGTGGGGGTGGGGTGGTCACTGATGGGGGTGGGGGTCCCTTGTGGCCCCTCCCCCACCGCGGGACACCCGAGACAGAAACAAAACAAAAAAACCAAAAAAACCAAAACCCCGATTTTTAATAATTAAAAAAAAAAACCCCACACACCGAGATGAGCCGGGCCACCAGCCCCGGGGCCACCGAGCCCACGGCCACCGATCCCGAGTGTCCCCGGGGCCACCGATCCCGAGTGTCCCCAGCCCCGGGGCCACCGATCCCGAGTGTCCCCGGGGCCACCGATCCCGAGTGTCCCCAGCCCCGGGGCCACCATCCCCGGCCATTTTCCATCCACGCCACTGCCCACGGCCACCCCTGGCCCTCGGTGTCCCCAACGCGCCCCGGGCCACCCGTGGTGTCCCCGTGGTGTCCCCGTGGTGTCCCCGTGGCTCAGGAGGGGTCCCCTGGCCCAGGCCACGGCCCCTCGGTCCCCTCTGTCCCCTCTGTCCCCTCGGTCCGGTGCTGTCCCAGCTCGCCGTGGCCACCGCGGCGCTGCCGGGGGCACTGAGGGCACCTCTGAGCCACAGCCCCGGTTCCGGTTCCGGTTCCAGTCCCAGTGTCGGTTCCTGTTCCGGTTCCGGTTCTGGTTCCGGTCCCATTCCCAGTCCCGGTGTCGGTTCCTGTTCCTGTTCCGGTTCTGGTCTCTGTCCCGGTTCTGGTCCCAGTTTCCAGGTGAGTTCCCCGGTGTCTCTCCAGGTGTGACGATCTCTTGGAAGCCTTGCCACAGGTACCGGTGTCGGTCCCAGTCCCGGTTCCGGTTCCGATCCCGGTGTCGGTCCCGGTTCGGGTGTTGGTTCCGGTGTCGGTCCCAGTCCCGGTTCCGGTGTCAGTCCCGGTCCCGGTCCCGGTCCCCCCGTGTGTCCCCCGGTGTCTCTCCAGGTGTGACGCCCTTTTGAAGGCCTTGCCGCAGGTGTCGGTCCCGGTTCCGGTGTCAGTCCCGGTTCCGGTCCCCCCGTGCGTCCCCCGGTGCCTCTCCAGGTGTGACGCCCTTTTGAAGGCCTTGCCGCAGGTACCGGTGTCGGTCCCGGTTCCGGTGTCAGTCCCGGTCCCGGTCCCCCCGTGTGTCCCCCGGTGTCTCTCCAGGTGTGACGCCCTTTTGAAGGCCTTGCCGCAGGTGCGGCACAGGTGCGGTTTGAGCGGCGAGTGCGCGATGCTGTGACGCTGCAGGTACGACAGGTACGCGAAACAGCGGCCGCACACCGGGCACGAGAACCGCGCCCCTCCCCCCGCCCCGG